CAATATCGCCGAGCTTTCACGTGCCACACCGGGTCTTGGCGTGCCGTTGTTTTCAACTTACTTCGCTGTCGCTAACAGCACAGACAGAAGTGAACTTACCTGCACGTTGAGGGAGAAGAACCCCTTCCTGTTCCTGTAGACTTCCCCATTGGGACCGCCAGGTCCCTTTATTTTGACGTGGGTGCAGTCGATGCATCCAGTCACACTGGGGAACTTCCCGATGTTGTAGAAATCCCGCATGACCTCGTCGCAGTCGCCCTCCGGGAAATCCACGAGGCGGGGGAAGAGAGTCTCGGCGAGGACCCGGGAGACACGCTCAATTACGCGGCACACCGTCGGCTGCGACACGTTAACGAGGTCGCCCGTAACTACTTGAAAAGTCCCGGCGCCATAAAATCTCAGCGCTACGAGGAGCTGGAGCATCGGGGACAGTGGCAGGCCGCGACTGCTCTCGTTTGCTTCCAGCGGCAGGCACTGGAGAAGGCTTACTACTGTCGATTTCGTAAAACGATATCGCACCAGAAACTCCCAGTCGTTGAAATGCTCCAACGGGTTGAGCCGGTCCCGGCAACGCCGTCTCGGCACATCGACGTCCTGGTCGGGGTCTCGGCTGTCGTGAAGGACTTCGTCCGTTCTCAACACGAAGTCGACGAAGTCGGCGAACGATGCGTCGGCCGCCATGACACTGAACGCACTCGAGTGGCTCGAGTGGCCGTTCAAGGTAGCTCCGGCGCAGACTCGAGATCTCGAGTAAATTTTGGAGTTTCGAGTGGAGATTTTGGAGTCGAGTGGAGTTTCGAGTGGAGATCTGTTTATGAATCGCAAAACCACCCTCAAGTCGAGTTTCGAGTCGAGTTTCGAGTCGAGTAGCGTTTAAGAATACGGCGGTTAGCATCGCTGGGCCGCTCGTCTGACGTCTTCTTTTTTTCCTCTCGTTGGAGGTCTGCGTTCCCTGCCTCGAGTCGCCTGTCAATACAGTGCCGGTATCGCCGTTTTTCTTCCCTGTGGACTCCGTGGGGCGAGATGAAAATGCAGCGCTCATCATCCAGTGATAACAACAGTATGTACACTCTAAGAAAAAGGGGAGCGCGACTTAGTCTCCGAGGGGAGCAAGTGCGTTGCCACAACCATTCGTCCCCTCGGGGACTAACGGAAAGGGGAGTAACAGTTGCGCCCCTCCCTTAGTCTCACGCACTAGCACCGTTGGGACTAACTGTTACACCGTTTCAATTGCACCTCGGGGACCAACTGTTAGGCCCTTGCACTTGGTCCCCTGGGACGAACTGTTACACCGTTTCAATTGAACCCCGAGGACGAACTGTTAGGCCCCTGCACTTGTACCCTTGGTACTAACTGTTACACAGTTTCAAATGAACCCCGAGGACCAACTGTTAGGCCCTTGCACTTGGACCCCTGGGTCTAATCGTTGCGCCCTTGGATTTAGACCCCTGGGACTAAAGGTTTATCCTTTACATTTAGTCCCGAGCCACAAGTCTCCGAAACTAAATTGTGCAGTTCAGGTTAAACGTAGCTTTATTGCCTCGTAGATACACATCGCATTCAAGGATGACTGAAATCGAAGTTCCTGAGCGGTAGACTCCACGATAAGGCCAAATCCCCAACAGTGCTCTTGCGTCGACGATGGCTTGAACCACGGAGGTCGTGGCTTGAACACTGGGACGGCTGTCCAAACCGATCTTGGTCCAAGCACCGTTTATTGGGGCACCGGCAGCTTCTTGCCGGTTTGCGAGGAATTTGGATTATTAGCAACAGGGGCAGCGTGAAATACCCGATCGCTCAACAAAAGTATGAGATATAACCCACACATAATAAATAACAAATGGGCTACAAAAGTGCTACAGAGGTTTCATCTAACATGCGATCTGTTAACAGCAGACCAGCGCAATATTATATTTGTAGTGGACCGTTCGCTGCGAATTACAGACCCAGCATGTGCGTGCTCAAACTATGCTTCAAAGTGACGAAACGAGCTCCCGCCATCAACGGGAAAGTCTGTGCAATCGAATAAATGTCTCCATTAACCGCTCATTCACACTGGAAGCGGATCCGCGTTTGCAAAGCGGTTGCGAACGCCGGTTGTATAAAGATCCAGTACAATTTCATGCGCATTTGATGACATCAAAGGCGCGTTAAATTGTACTGGATATTTATACAACCGCGTTCGCAACCGCTTTGAGAAGGCGGATCCGCTTCCAGTGTGAATGATCGGTAAGGCCGGTTCTCACACGCATCGAAACGCTGAAGTAGCGCTGCTCACGTGTGGTGAGCTGCTTTTCGGCTGCCATGAGAAGCAGTTTTGACGGTGCGATACAAAGCTGGTGAAAGCTCCCGTCAGCACGCGCTTAGCGCTAGGTCAGCGCTATGCTTGTGGCTCTCTGCTGCATGTCTGACCAGGCCTTTATGGTAAAGCGATTCTGCCAGGGTCTGCAAAACACGAAAAATAAGCCATCGGTAGCACTGGCGTTTTGCTCGATACGATTAAATATCAGGTCTCTGTGCTGCATAACAAAATAAACAACCATGGTGCCAAAAAGAATAGAGCATGGCGCGCGCTTTGGAAGCAAGAGAACGCGCTCAAAATAAAACACTTTCTGAAGCCGCAGTGAATGAATATACCATAAACAGAAGTACTTCGACATACCTTAATCGAGTTCCCTCGTATTGTGACTTCAGAACTGATCAAGTGCAGTGTTGCAGCACCGCGAATCCAAACCGGATCCCGCAATGATCGGAGACGACCAGCTTCAAGTTCTGATGAAGGCTATACTAAAAACAGGTCCTTTTCAAACAAAGACACCTTCCCTTTTTCCCGACGGACCCTCTCTGCCTCATCTGCCCAACCCTCCGCGTGAGCAAGGAATGCGGGGTAGGGGGTTGGTGGGAGGGCAAGGGCGCGTACACGAAGATCTCCCCCCCCCCCCCCCCCCCACCCCCCTCCCCACTACACACGACACGCGGACACACGGACGCTCCCAAGGACGGGAGAAGGTCGAAGGTCGCTATTTTCAACACGCCGGTCAAGTGACGTACAAGCAAACACTTTTTTCTTTGTTTTTTTTTGTTTTTGTTTTTTTTTCTCTTTTTTTCTCTCTTTCTTTCTTTTCAGTTTTCTCGGGGGCCTTTTTTTTTAGTTCGCATTTGTTTTGTATTAACAGGGTGTGGCCATGGATGACGATCCGGGCGTGATTTGTTCTTCGATGTTCATCTAGAGTGTTATCTGAAACCTCTGAAACAGCGACGACGATCGTATGAAGGCGTCTAGACACTGCTTCTGAATGTGCTTTTTATGTGGAACGTGCCGTGCATCAAGTGTGTCGTTGCGGATTTTGAGTTCGACATTGGACTACCAAGAAAGGTTGGTTACGGGGAGACGCAGAGACGAGGCTCGACTTGTTCTCAATAACTCAGTTTTAGCGGTTGAAGTGACCATTTATTCTGACTGCGAGACTCCGGTGTTGAAAGCGCGTCTTTTACAAACTCTTAAGTTTTATTTAAGAAAAATGAAGTGTTAGTATTTGGAGGTGTTGCGTTTGGATAAATGCTCATTTTTTGCGCGAAAGCAAATTACGTGAATGAGACTTGTGAAATGTCAACAGATCATTTTTGACGAGATAGTTGGGTGAAGTAGAGTCAACACATTCGTTAACTCGCATTCGCACACCGCGTGAAGATCTACCATGTAATGTCTGAACGTTCGTTGCACATTAAACAAATTAGCCAGTTTCGTCCGAGTTTTGTTAACAATTTCAGCCGTGCCGGGCTGTCTCGCCGATCCCCAAGACGAGCGAAATATCATCCGTCCTCCTAGCAAACATTCAATTTGCCTTCGGGGACTAAATCATACAGATGCACCCTGTCTGAGGGGGACTAATGGCTGCTTTTGCTCGCGCACGCCTATCGGTTAGTCCCAGTCGAGCGCAATTAGTCCCCAGCTTTTGCACATGGTACCTAGCTTGAACCAGAAGGTCCTTTCGGGGAGCAACTGGGAGTTCAGAGGACCAAATGCAGCCGTTAGTCCCTTGAGGCCAACTTTTTTCTTAGAGTGTATGAGCGAGATTAGCACCACGAGTGAACTGCCGGCACCCCCAGCACCGGGTTCCTTTGCTAGGCATTGCCTGCGCCCTCGCTTGCAACGGTGGATAAATAAACGAAGTGTAACTACTGAAACGACGTTGTACGGCGTCATTCACTCAGTTGTGAACCGTGCAACTCCTGCCAAGTTTTTGTCGCTATCAATCAAATGGTAAGTGACGATTGGTATAGCGGCCTCCTTTGCACCTTCGATTGCATGTAGGGAGGATAAAACCAGTGGTATGCACGATACTTACCTTTTCCCGGTGTCGTTTGAACTGACATTCTTTGTGTTAATTCTCATCCGAGAGAGCTATAAAACATTAACAGTACTAAAAGAAACGAGCTATAGAAGTAAGCAGACAAAGTGCAAAGCTTGTTAAATAGCGCGAATCTTGGCAAGTGAAAGTTAGCTCTCCCCATTTCTAACACGAGTCGCTGTTCTCGTAATGCTCGGCATTACGAGAATGTAAACCATAAAACTCGGCATGATAGTAGGAGACTGAGGTTGTAGGCAAGCCCTATAAGCTCAGCCTCCCTATTGCACCGCACAATTTGTGAATCGGGGTGATATCCATACAAATATCAATACGGACTCCGTTTCCGTTCTAACTGCGCTTACCACAGGCGGTGACCCAGTTGGTCGAGGTGCATGGAGGAACTCCAAGCTCTGAGTTGCACCTTCTAAGCCTTTGGGCCAGCCGATTCGAGGAAGTGGAACAGTGCTGAGGGATTGGAAACTCTATGCTGCTCACTTACGGCCCAGTGGAATATGTGAGGCGGACCTTAAAGACCTCAAAAAGCCTTGACCAGTGCAATGAGGTAATGAAGCACAACATCACGTCAACAACATGAGACACGGGAGACGTGTACGACACGCATCCGATTTTACAGCATATGAGTGGTCCTTAAAAGGACCGTTTTGTTTTTAGGGTTGATCCCCCTTGATGTTGACATCTAGGGTCGTCGAGGGGCCCCACACTGGACATGTCACTCTCAGAAGAAGTGTCACCTTCATTAAGAGCGATGACGATTGGCTCGATGTGAGCACTTGTCGTTCCTCCTTGTTTGAAGCTTTCTTCCACTTCGACGACATGCCTCACAGCGTTGCACCAGTTACTAGCCGTGACCTGCTCAGCTTCTTCTTTGAGGAGTCTCTCAACGTCGCCAATCTTGAACATTGTGTTTCGGGCTGCGACGCGATTCTTGATCTGTGCCCAGATGAGTTCAATTGGGTTGAACTCACAGTGGTAGGGTGGAAGCCTGACCACTGTGCAACCAGCCCTTTCTGCAGCAGTGTCCACACGGTACTTCACGTACTGCGGCTTGACCGACGACACGATCTCAAGGAGCTGCCTCTTCAGCATCTTGGCGTCCCAAGCAATACCTTTCGACGTGAGCCAGCCCTGGATGAGCTCCTTCCGGGAACTGGTCGTCGGCACCGCCTCTAACCGCCGGGAATGGTACGGGGCATTGTCCATTACGATGACACTCCCCGTCGGCAGTTTTTGGAGGACATCGTCGAACCACTTTTCGAACCGAGGGCCGTCCATTTCCTCGTGGTAGTCGCCGGTTTTTTTGCCGCGGAAGACGTCCAGGCACCCAGGGACAAATCCATCTTCGCTGCCGATATGCGTAACGATGAGGCGCTGGCCCTTCCCCGACGGCTGCTTCAGGCCCGTTGTGAGACCTCGCATGAAGGCGTCGTGGGACGAGGTCACAGTGCTGTCCACCCACACCGTCGAGGCAGTGTGCCCGGCCGTCACCCACGTCTCGTCGAGGTAAAAAATCTGGCGGCCCTCTTGCCTGTGACGCGTGATGTCCCGCAAGTACGTCTGCTGCCAAGCGACGATGTCGTCTCGCTCGACCATGAGCGAGTTTCGAGCCCTCCTTTCTCGCCTGAAGCCGATGTCAAGAAGGAGACGACGCACGGTCCACGCCTGCAGCGAGGGGAGTTCTGGGCTTGTGCGGAACTCGGCTGCTATCTTTTCAACCGTGGGCATCTCGTTCCGGCGAAAAAACCGATGCACACACGATCTTAAGGCACACAGCACGAGGTCACCGTACTTGGCAGTACGCCGCTTCTTGCCTGCATTTGTTGGGCGCTTCCGAGAGGGTGACGCGAGTTGCCCATCATTCGCACTTGCCTCCTTCTTGATTGCAAGCACACTGGACACGCTGACACCTGCCAGTTTGCTGACTGCCTTGCAGGCCTCAATCACGTCGAGGTCGGGCTCCGTATGCCGCATCCGAACGTACATGTTCAGAAGGAGCTCTCGTTGGCCGCTGTTCAAGATGTGGCCGCTCTTGTGCTTCTTGAACCAGCGTTTTGGCGTAGACGGTAGGTCTCTCGACCAAGAAGAATCCGAAGAATCACTTTCCGCAGCTTCCTCGTTGGGATCCATGACGGAAAACATGTGGAACACACAACCGGAGAACGACTTTCCAAATCGCGAATTCGTCGAAACCGGAAACGCAAAAGATTTTCTATTCAACAAATCAACTAAACATACACTATTCATCTATAAAGTATATAAAACTAAGAAAAATAAGGTAATTTGCATTAGTTACGAAATAATAATGTCCTTTTTTTCTTTTTTTTTTTGTTTTTCAAAAAAGTCTGGTTTTCGACTACCGAAACCGAAACCACTGGAAGACAGAAGTTCAGACAGCCATTTAGACAGGAAGTCAGTTAGAAGGCGGAACATTAGACATGACCCCTGTCCATTAATACTGAACCCGTGCGTGGACAATAACGTATCTCAACTTCTTTAAGTATCGTGAATAAACTAAATTATTTATGTATTGGCCTAGAAGACGTTTCTTTGAGAGGGATAAAACGGCGTTGCTAGGGAGCTATTTTCTTTGACGGCGTAGGCATTTCAAGCGGCGCTTTACGCTTGTGGGCGGAGCTCCAGCTTTTTTCTTAAGCTGTAACCGACTATAGTGATGCTCCTGCAATTGTGGCCATACATCTTTATTTTCATATACCAGCTGTGATTCATGCGTTGCCTGCCCTGTCAACCATGCTTAAAATGTTGCTTGAAGTTTCGCCTGTAGCTACAGGCCATACCTCAATAAAGGAGCATATAAAAATTTACACTTCCTACGAAAAACACGACAAAAAAAATAAATAGAAAGGAGCGCGCCGACAGCTAACGTCGTCACAGCTTCCACACGGCGAACGGGGCGAGTCGGGGAAAAATTCTCTCCTCGCCGTGACGTCACCCCGGTTCGCCGTAAGGGGGCGCCACGCGAACTTCTCGGGGCTAATAGCCCTGTTTGGCTCTGAGGTGGCGTTTTTAAAATTTTTCGTTAAGTAGATAACGGACAGACGAACACTGATTGGGTGATGTCGCATTTCTGTAGTACATGTCGCGATTTCACGGTGTACATATATATATATGTGTTTTCTGAGAATAAACTTCACTTGGAAATAGCGCTCTGTGTTGTTCGTTTCTTTTACTCGTCCGTTGTTTTTAGCGCTTTTACCCTCACAAACATGGATCACCAACTAGCCCAAGTGCATACCCTTCTTCTTGGAAGTATGCAAGCAATAAGTCGCACCGCTCAAGTACCAACCGCACGGTAAACAGTTTTTAGTGTTCGACGGCGTCGCCAACGCTCTTGGCTATGGGCATCCATCTTTGTGTGCGCTCGAAAGAGTTCGTCGCGTTGATTTCTTTGAGGAGGTTGTGGGTCGCCTGTCAATACCGCCCGATCAGGCCGAGTTCCACGCGCTCCGAGGAAGTCACGCAAAGAAGCGCTACCATTGGAAAAAGGTTTAGTCTGTACTTAAAGGGGCCCTCCGGAGCTTTCTGCGATTGTCTGTTTATGTTGTTATATTGCGTAGTAGGTGCAAGTTAATCTGTATACAAAGTTTTAGATTACAAAACCGTTTATTAAGCAGATGGCAATAGATATATATCGGGACTATTTTCTCTTCGAAGACAATCCCCCATTCCCTGCCCATCGCTAAAACTTGACCAATGGAAATGCTGCATCTCGCGGTGAATGCGAACGTTATTATTGCAACACTTCTTAAGCTTGTTGCTAATTAGAGTTAATGTAAACTGATTGTGGTGCGGGAAACATAGTCAGCAATTATCGCTCCAAAACCAGCGAACTATGTTTTCTCCCCGCAAGCTTGTTGCTAGGGGGTGATGCGTCGGCGCGTCGGGTCGTCTGCTTCCCGGGGCGTGTGCAGGCGCGCGTTTGCGGGACACGTGTTCCTTCTTCCCGTGGATCCAGACTCCGAAGCCAGCTTTTCGATCCTTCCACGTCAACGAGTCAAACTTTTCCTTGTCATCTGTGGAATGCGACTGCCTATTGCAGTAGCAGCGCGACGGTACGGTGCGACGAACGACGACTACCGAGCGCAAAGTCCGGGCCCCTTGACGACGGTCCGCGCGTGTTCGCGGGTCGGCGGTCGGCTGCGTTGGTGACGCGCACTGACGCCGGAATCCTTCGCTTGCTATTGGCTGACGCGTAAAGAGGTGCCCCTCCCGTTTTCCGGGGTCATCTCAGAAAGGGGGGCGTGCCGGTAACTTTGATAGCAATTTTAATAGGGAAATCCGCCGCGCATGGCCGTAATTTTATGATTTTTAGGATCCTTAGGGCCTGTAGATTGAGTTACCGTCATTAATAGACCATCGCAGAACGCTCCGGAGGGCCCCTTTAAGTTCAGAGTCCGATGAAGAGGAGGGCCAAGGCTGTCTAGTGGTCCGGGTCTTCAGCTGGAAGCCTTGCTCGGCACCGGCTCTTTCGTTTGTCTCCAGCTCCGAACTCCGCGTGTCCTCGCCCGCCATGAGCCTCACCCTTTTCCCCTTCTTCTTTCTCTTTCTTCCAAGAGGTTGAGGACATCTTCAATGGTGAAGCGAACCCGTACAACGCGCGTAGCACTTCCACTAGTTTGCCTCACCCCTCGCCATTTTACAAACTGGAGTAGTCTCGCGCTTTCCCGTGCGCGACGAGAGCAACGAGAATTGCACGCAGGGGACCGCTACGTATACGCTCGCATAAAGCGATAGCGAGCGTACGTACGCATAGCTCGCTGCAATACGTGCGATGGCTCATGCGCAGTGTGGAGGACGCAGCGTTAACGCTAACGTAGGAGGCTTGCGTTTGCTCTTATACGCAATACTAAAACTCCACTATCTTGCATTGTTGGGAAAAAAGGTACTGAATAAATAGTTTCTTCAGGAGTGCATCGGGGACTAAAAACACCGTGAAAGTGCTGTTAAACTCATTAGCAATTTGGTAGGAATAAGTAATTTCATTTCCATCAACATGAAGTTGTTCAATAGATCTCCTGTTGTCCGACAAGTACCCCCAAAACATTTTGGGGTACTTCTTTCGTGAAGTTTTCTAATGTTGTTTCAAAAAAATAATCGCGCGCCGTTTTGATTTTTCGCTTCGGCGTCACTGTGAGGGAAGTTATGACATCAGCATTTTTACAATTTGCTCTCCGTTGCCTAGATATTGTTCTTTTCCGAAGTATTGTATATCTTCTTATCCAGGCATTCTGATGTTTCTTTTTTACTATATTTGTTGCATATTTGTGAAGGCACTTAGCAGTAATACGTTTGAGACCTTTCCATAATGTTGAAATGTCACCCTCCGTCTCAAAGTCGCTGAAGTTCAAATCAAGAGTATTTATAATAGCTTCATCATCTGCAGCAACAAAATTAAAGACACGTTTAGTCACATGACCCTTTTTTACAGGGCAAAAATTAGTCGTAAGGAAAACAAGCTTGTGGTCAGAAATTCCATCATGAACGCTGATGTCAGTGCCCTCTGGAGAGTTTCCAACAAAAATGAGGTCCAAAATGTTACTGCTATTTTGGGAAATACGAGTACCATCAGTAACAAGCTGAGTTAGGTTAAAATTGAGCATCAATTCGAGTAGTGAAGTTGCAATTTTTTACCTTAGTAAGGTCGATCGGTTGTACGTTTAGGTAAATGGTCAGCTAGAAGGAGAGGGACAAACACAGACAGGGAGAAACAGAGACATAGACACCGCTGACTATCAACTAAGACCTTATATTTCTTCTTCATCACTGTGACCCACAGATTCACACCTAAAGTAATGCCAATGAATGACCCTAAATCCTTACGGTACACTACTAAATCAAAATACTGATTAAATAGTATTAAATTAAAATTGAAACTAATTAATTACATTATATTATTAATTAATTATTAATAAGGTCGACGGGTTGATTGACGGGAGTTTCAAAACACCCGCCAATAAAGTTTTTATATTAGGTTTGTATATTTGTTGCATGTGAAATTGAATGTTCTCAAGAAATGATCTGGAGGAGGATGGGGGCCGATAGACAACACCAACGAGAGCCGAAAACCCATGATAATCGATTTGGCACCATACACTTTCATTGTCAGTTATTTCGTTTAAGATAACGCAGAGTTCCTTTTTTACTATTAAGGCAACTCCCCCTCCTCGAGAGTCACGATCACGCCTTCGGCCTCAAAAATGTCTCCTGATAACTATGTTTCAGGGATTTCTATTATCTTCGGGTTGTACGTAAGTATAATTTCTTCGAGATCGTGAACTTTATTGACGATACTTCGGGCATTTAGTAGTACAAAACGTAACTGCTTCAATTCAAGTCAGTATACATCGTTCCGACATTTTTGAGAGCGGATGCACTTTAGACAGTCGTTTTCTTCATTCATAGAGTTCGTCATCAACTCGTGGTTTATCACAGTATAGCACTACTTTACGTCTCTGGCTTTGAAGTCTCCAGATTTGGACCAATGCTTCCTCCTTTTTGCCAGAGTACTCTTACAAAAGTCATGATTAGCTGAGATTGTGGTTCCTTTCAATTTATTACAATTTTTAGTACCTTCACTTTTCCCTTATAGTCGAAGAAATTTCTAATCACAGGCCCCGGTTTGCCTCGTTTTTTCCTCATTTCGTGGACTCTTTCCACCGAGCTAACAGACACTCCAAGCTTTTGCCCTATTAAGTCCTCGATTATCTGGCTTCTTAATGTTTCGGTGTTTTCGCGGTAGGGCTCAGGAAACCTGAATATCACAAGGTTGCGGCGACCACTCCTATCTTCTAGCTCGGTGGTCTCAAACTCATTTGAGCGTGGGGGCCAGATAGCCCACACTGGGAAGGCCGAGGGCCAACGTTGACCGGGGGGGGGGGGGGGGGGGGAGGGGGGCGACGAGGTCAAACGATTTGAAAGAGAAGACACCTCGTGCTCTTTGCTTTTTGTAAACTCGGTTTTGTGAGTTACATTTTTAGATTTGATTTGTTCATATTGCTACTTTGGGGCCCTGACCTGATGTGATAACAATAATTTAAATGACACCGCCCCGCTACCTTGCTCGCATATTTAATAGAACAAGAAAGCATTTACACTGTCGTTCTTGTTGCTCAATTCACTCGGGAATTAACCAAGCCCAATATTTAAAAAAAAAAATAATAAGTATTTTGCAGTTCTTGCTTTCCTGAAGATTTCTAT